TATAGTATGTCGTCCAAAATCATGAAAAAAAGTCATAGTAAAGTATGTCGTCCAAAATCATGAAAAACAAACATCATAGTATAGTATGTCGTTCAAAACCATGAAAAAAGTCATAGTATAGCATGTCGTCCAAAATCATGAAAAACAAACATCATAGTATAGTATGTCGTTCAAAACCATGAAAAAATTTATAGTATAGTATGTCGTCCAAAATCATGAAAAAAAGTCATAGTATAGTATGTCGTCCAAAATTATGAAAAACAAACATCATAGTATAGTATGTCATTCAAAATCATGAAAAAAAAGTCATAGTATAGCATGTCATGGTTAATTGTCATAGCAGTATGCCACAAAAATATCTTGGAATAGCAGGCCACACAAAATGTTAAAGTTACAGTCTGTCCTTTTCTGTCAGTGTACGATTGTGTCAACATCAAAGTTAGGTTTCAAGTTAGGTTTCAACAAATTTCCCAACTAGAGTTCTTAATTTCACTGCTACAATGTCTAAAGTCTAATTTAAACACTTTTATATATTTAGATAGCAGCAAAACATAGAGTCTATCAGTTTGTTATTGTATTTGTATTGCTTGTTAACTGTTAGTATAAGAACATTTAAAGCTACTGCATCTCAACAATCCACACACGCAGGTGTTTGTACATTTTTTTGGCTGATTATACCCCATCTCATGTCTGTATGGGTGTGTACAGACTACTTGAGCATTACATAGCTTGTTGCACCTGTTGGGGTGGGAAACCTTGAACCTAATAATTCTGAAAACATATGGAGTTTTGTCATGACATGTAATTTTCAGAACAGCTCCAACATACTTCAACCTGAGCAGTATAATCAGTGGGAAAATTTATGGGTGTACAGGTTATTTACAACACATTACTTAATGTACACACATGCTGTTAATGTTTTTTGTTTTTTGTGCATTGAACATGAAGTATGATGTGCAAGGTGAATCTAACTGGCTTAAATCAACAACATGTTTTAGTAAAACTACTTTTTTAAGGGTTAAAATTATCTTTCACAAATGTTTGCTTTAATTTGCTTTGATTTCAAATTTGCTTACATTTCAAACAGGGATTTTCCATTATTACAGAACTGTACCAGTCTTAAATCTATTTTATGACTTTCTTATCCATAATGCACATTTGCATACCCGTTTTATCTTGTGCAGTTTTAAATGATTAAACTGCAAAAAATAATTGAATTCTAAATAATTCATTTTCAGAGTTTAAAATGTTTAAAGGCACACAGCCATGCCAGCCTTTGTCTGAGCCATACTAATTAAGTTATCTTACCTTTCTGTACTCTGCCAGAGTGATTGTGCCGTCATTGTCTGTGTCATGCATGTTGAACAGGACTGGGAAGACAGAACAGAAGAATTTAGAGGTTAGTCTGATTTCTAAGGAACTTTCTGTCATCAAATCAGAGAAGGCAGGATCTTACTATTAGAACAGAGGAAGCTGTGCAAAGAGGAATGTTGAAGATGCAGAGATAAGAGAGGGGACTAACTAAGCAGGTCCCCTCCAGGCCATCACTGCTGAATGAAGAGAATTACACTGAGGCAATGACACCCCTGTAAAATGTCAATACTTTCATTCACAGTGACATTTACAAGATTCAGTCCCATGACAATGCTTCATGTTTAACAGGCCTGTGGCACTAACAAGGAACAAAAAACAATCCACTTCCTTTGGCAATGTCTAACAACATTTTGACTGTGCTGCCGATGTTATTTCAGAGCAGTCGATAGAATGTCAGTTTTAATGTCAAATTGGCTCATCTTTTTTTCCATAATGGTCCCGAGGTAGATATTTATCATTGTGACAGTGAGAGCCTTGTTGATTTATGGTCACCCAAACAAACACCCCCCAAAAATCTTATCGAACATGTGGGGAAAACATACAGACAAACTGGTGACAACAGAGAAACACAATTTAGATAAATGGTTTCTGCAAATACTGTAGGAGACACACATGGTTCGTAGTGTCATCTGATTATTATCTCCTTTATCAAAACCCTTGTGCTTTGGGGTTTTGTGCCACAGTGTTTTTTTTTTCCCCAGAAAAATAAAGAGTGTCTTTGTTCAGGCAGCGAGACCACCTTGCTTCACACCAGGGGAAATAAACTTTTATGAAATGCTTTTAAAAATTCACACAATTACAAAAAAATGATAGCAACCCAACTCATTCCCTCACACTCTGGAGAGCACACTGCTTTGTGTTATTATCTTAAATCACAACTTAATTTATTCTACCAGGTAGTTGTAAGAGTTCAGCCAAAATTAGTCTACTTTCTTTTTTCCCCCTGACACTAACTGCCTTGAGCAGAACAAAACAACACAGACTGAGTAGAAAACAAGGAAACACTACAGTAAACACATTTGGCACAATGGTGGAAGAGACTGTCAATACAACTATGTAAAAGTAGAAGTCCTGCATTCAAGATTTTACTTTAGGAACTTCACTTGGTTAGGCATCAAACAGATATTTAAATCAATCCACCTGAGACGTTTGAGGGGAAATGTCTCTTTGGAGGAAGTGCTGACAGCTAGGATTGAAACATGATGCTACTTTTTCACGAGGGGTCAAGCCAAAACGGTTGGAAACAACTAGGTTATCTTTAACAATGCTTTTGATGTGTTTATCATAAGTTGTGTAAAAGTTTAATAAAACGTAACAACAGCTAACAAATGAATGAAGTAGTGTAAAAAGTACAATATCATCTTGTGTTACAGATCGTCCATTGTCATCGCTTATTTTAACCAGCAGTGACCACTAATGTCCATGATTTACCCCTGACAGTGTGTGATACTGAATACTGTGTATTATGTATTGTAATGTCTGTTTTGTTTTACTCGTGATGACTACTGTCTGTATCTCTAATTGTAATCCTTGGGAACATTAAAGTTTACCTTACCTTACCTTTCCTTTCCTTTCCTTACCTTAGGTTCGATTTGTTTGTTGGCAAGATTACAAAAAAACTACTGGCCCCATTTTCATGAAACTTAGTGGAAGGCTGTAACATGGGCCAAGGACGAACCAATCACATTTGGGGGCAGATCTAAATAACAGGGGCAGATAGACAAACAATTTTTCATTTTTGTCAACAGTGCAAGATTGAGCATTTGGCCTTAGAGGAGGTCTTCACTCTCTGAGTGCCTTTCCAGTAACCTTTGAGTTGTCATGGAGAAGAAGTATGGATTAGCATGAAATGGAAATATTCATGTAAAGCACAAGTTCCTCAAACTTGTACTTATATAAAGCATATCAAGCCCCGTTTCCAGCAAATACTTTTAGTATGGTACCTTTGGAACCAACAGTGACCCTTCAGACATGAGCCCCTTTTACACTGCCAAATTTTCCACGAATGTTGGGCTGTTTTGCGGGCAAGCTGCGAGCATTTAGACACACAGAGCCGGATTGGTGAGTTGAGCCGAGGTGCCCAATTTCCGCCTTGTAGGGTAGTCATATTGGCGGAACCCTTTCAGTTTAAACAGACTGAAGTGGCCTTCTGCAACGGGAGGGGCTGTTGATGACTTGTGGGAGGAGCTGTTGATGACAGCACACGTGCGAGCCACTGGCGGTGGATAAACAGGAAACAGCTACTAGCAGGAATTAGCGAGCAGCTCGTAGCAAGCGGGAAACGCAAACCTGACAGACACTGTAAAGATGAGCAACTGTGGTGACAAGGAATTGCGTGCCCTCCTTGTCCTCGCAAACGAAGAGGCCATTAACCATCAGATGACGGGGACGGTGAAGCACGGGCCAACTTACGAGAGAATCGCCGAAGGACTGACCAGCCGCGGCTTCCCTCCCACGTCACTGTTTATGTCACATGCTGAGCTACACGTTTTGTTACTTGCTCACGCCCCCCATTGCCCCGAAAAAGGCGCATTCTGTATAAAAAAAAGTAGGTAGGCGGCATTTTGCCGCACTCCCCAATTTTGTGTTTATACTGCCAATGCTGAAAAAAGACTGATTGGGCTTTCCTGCAAATTTGCACAATTCCTATTTAAAAAGGGCTATGGTAACTAGACCCTAGACCCTTGCTGATAAACACAGACCCCTGCAACTTCAATTCATCAAGAATTTTCTGTTTTTTGGATTCTTCATTCACCGAAAACATGTGAGAATAACTCAGGGTGCTTTCAGACCTAGAGTTGTCTTGCTCTGGTCCAAATCAGGGACTGATTTTGTTACAAAGTTGTATAATTGCCTAGAGCTGGTTCGTGTTCTCACGGCAGCATTTACAAGAGGACCAGATCAAATGCCTCGTGTGAGAAAGCTGCTCTTGATTGGTCAGAATTTCCATGCAGGAAAAATCCAGGAAGTAAAGCAAACGTTGAAGAAGAGTACACTTGCAAGATAAATGTGACACTTTCTAATGTCACAATGGAGGGACAACTACGCAGGTTGATTTTAGCGCTGCTCATCATGGACTATATTGCTGTCATTGTTCATTTTAGTCAAACCATACAGTTTGAAAACGAGGCGCGGCTCCAACTAGAAAACAATGTTTTGATGCAGTGGATGCGCTGAATGCACATAGGTAGTCAGAACATGTTCTCATGACAAACAAACCGCACCAGAGTTCATTTGTAACTGGACTGAGACCTCGTCTTCAAGAAGGTCTCAGTCCGATGATTTGTTGCGCACACAAGTACGATTGCTCACACCTGCCCGAACGAACCGCACTTATGGGGCAATCAAACTTGAGTTTGACTGAACGGAACCAAACAGGGCAGGTGTGAAAGCACTCTTAGTTTACTTCATGAAAGCAACGTGACATAGAGTGAATAATTGATATGCAAATGGTCATTTGGGGGGGTGCACAATTCCTATTTAAAAAGGGCTATGGTAACTAGACCCTAGTGTTTCCACCACAAACAATTCCTCCTTTATCGGTCTGCACCATATTTATCGTCCACTGAACTAGATTGTATGCCGACATTTTCTGAAGAAAATAAAACAGGCTGCAGTGAGAGTCTCTCTCCATGGGATATTCAAAAATAGCAGGTTTGTGCATTTCTTCCTTCTAAGGCAAGTGCAGTCAGCCAGAGCCCACAGGAACAACGCTCTGCAACGCTTTCTTTTTTTTCTCTGAGTAAGGACTGGGATATACAATTCACATAATCTGATCGAAATTAACACATATTCTTAAGCGCTTGAAGATCCATTACTAAAAGTGTATGTCATCCAAGAGAGACAATAGAAACTAAAGTCATGGTCAAAGTTGTCACATTGAAATATAAGGTGATCTGATGGATTCATTTCGTCAACTCATACATTGAGTAAGCGTTCACCTTAAAAGTTGTCAGCAATCAGTCAAGTATATTGAGTTATTTTTTCTCCGACTACAGCTGCTCCAAGAGGCAGAAGAACATCCTTTCGTTTAATAGGAACTCTCCATGGTTTGAACAGTGGTTACATGAGCCTCAAAACGAGCCACAACTCAGCCCTGAGCAGAGTGACCGTCCTCTATTGACCAATCAACGGACTGCAGTGTTCACAGCTCCACCTTTTAGTACCAGATCTGTGTGCTAGGTACCCCAACAGAGGGGGGACCAAAAATGGGGACAGTTAGGAACGGTTCCATTGGTACCATCCACAACTTTTCACAGTGGACACAGAAAAAAAAGTGTACTGAACTGAACTGTACCGTACCATACTGCTCGGTGGAAACAGGGCTTTAGTGAATGTTTTACTTACAACTTACATTACATTTTTTTAAAGACCCTTCAATCAAATGATAACAAAATTAAAAAATGTGGCCAAGAGGTTTGAATTTCTTACAATAGAGTACAAGAAGCCTCTAAAACATTAATAGTAAATGGCAGTTTTTGGTGACAGCCCATTAGAACCACACAGTTAAGGCTTCTTCTTTTGTTGTTCACAAATATTTTGACATAAAACAATGTGACACAAACAAAAAGATAAATAGAGCAAGAGAGAATTCCTCCCTTAGACGACTGGAATCCAATGCTGCTAAAGATATTTTCCACTTCGAGGGAGGCCATAGCTACAATTAGAGACACACCTCAGTTTTCACAAATTAGTCAGCTGAGTAGCTATTACACACAGCCGGATTTACCTGCTTGGGCGCCCCAGGGCAGAATTTGGCACTAATCCTCCTAATCTTTCCCTCCTGCCACCTGCACTTAGCACTGTCCACTCTGCACATTTTATTGTGTCCTCCATGTACTCACCAAGAACAGCACAGCACTCTATCACATGGGTTAGGTGAAGCGATGCCAAGTGCATAAACAAGGAGCAACAAACAAAATAATTCTAACTTGTTTGAATAGCATCTAAAGCTTGTAATAGCCCAGGAGGCAGCTGAGGACATACCCAAATGTTATCTTACAGAACACCACAGACGATGGCCTCATTCTATGTCAGCACATTTGCTTTAATTTGAGTAAACAAATTTGTTCAGGAATGTGTATAATATCAGTTGAGTATCTACTGAATGGAGCCAAAATGAGCCCTTAGGCTACAGAGATTTGCATGTAATAAGGCCTCCTGAAGATACCATAATGTAGGAAGGAAATGAATACTTTGTCCCCCAAATGATCGTTTATATATATTAATCACCCTGTGTTCAGGCTGAATTCATGAACAACACTTTTCTGTGATGCCTCCAGTGAGCGAATAATCCAAAAATGGGGAAAATCCTTGATGAACTGAAGTCATAGGCGACCACGTTTAACAACAGCAAAATTATATCAAAACATCTGTTTATAAACTCTCACACAACTAATGCAGTATAATCCAAGTCTCATTTATCCAATCATGTGTTCAGTACTTCCCAAACATACAGCCCCTTCTGAACGGGAACTAGACTTAAAGTGAAACTTATCTAAGCCAGACACTACTGACAAAAACTTTTTACCTTGCTGAACTTGGAAATTGCTGGGCTACCACTGACTCGATAGGTAGTCTATAGTTGTTATTGTTTATCTTTGGTGAATGTGAACTAACCCTTTAAAACACCAAAGTCAGCTCCCATGTTCACCAAGCTAAAAATACTGTTTTTGTCAGTGCAGTCTGGCATGAATGAAGAGAGCACAGATAAATTTTGATTTCCATTACCTTATGAAAAGGACTTGAATTACGCAGCAAAAATTGTGTGAGTTTGCAAATGGATGTTTTGATCAAGTTTTGCTGTTTGCTGATAAACACAGACCCCTGCAACTTCAATTCATCAAGAATTTTCTGTTTTTTGGATTCTTCGTTCACCGAAAACATGTGAGAATAACTCAGGGTGCTTTCAGACCTAGAGTTGTCTTGCTCTGGTCCAAATCAGGGACTGATTTTGTTACAAAGTTGTATAATTGCCTAGAGCTGGTTCGTGTTCTCACGGCAGCATTTACAAGCGGACCAGATCAAATGCCTCGTGTGAGAAAGCTGCTCTTGATTGGTCAGAATTTCCATGCAGGAAAAATCCAGGAAGTAAAGCAAACGTTGAAGAAGAGTACACTTGCAAGATAAATGTGACACTTTCTAATGTCACAATGGAGGGACAACTACGCAGGTTGATTTTAGCGCTGCTCATCGTGGACTATATTGCTGTCATTGTTCATTTTAGTCAAACCATACAGTTTGAAAACGAGGCGCGGCTCCAACTAGAAAACAATGTTTTGATGCAGTGGATGCGCCGAATGCACATAGGTAGTCAGAACATGTTCTCATGACAAACAAACCGCACCAGAGTTCATTTGTAACTGGACTGAGACCTCGTCTTCAAGAAGGTCTCAGTCCGATGATTTGTTGCGCACACAAGTACGATTGCTCACACCTGCCCGAACGAACCGCACTTATGGGGCAATCAAACTTGAGTTTGACTGAACGGAACCAAACAGGGCAGGTGTGAAAGCACTCTTAGTTTACTTCATGAAAGCAACGTGACATAGAGTGAATAATTGATATGCAAATGGTCATTTGGGGGGGTGAAGTATTCCTTCAAGTCCCCTATCATTTTAATAACTGATCAATGTATTATGACATTGTTCCTGAATGGTTTATATTCACAAAAATATACACTGAGCCTCTGTAGGGCACCAGGCTCTGGACAGTCGCTGCTGTAATCAGCCCAGTTGTTACTCCAGTCTTGCTAACAGGTGATTCCCATCTGCCAATTTCAACACTCTTTCCCTGGAGCTTGTAAAAGTAATTCTGGGAAAATGTAGGAAGTCACAAATCCCTGAAGGTAGTTTCAGGGGAGGAACAAGCAGGGTTGAGGGCACGCAATCCCCTGTCTGGTTCTTGGTTCAGGGAAGGAACCCAAAATGTAAATTGCTTCATCCTGAAATGCCTCCTGGAATAGATTTACATAACAAACTGATTAGAGTCTAATGGTATAATGATATCTGAGGCTGACTTTGGGTCCCAGGTCAGTGACTACAAATGATCCTATTCCACTTCTGACAGTTGGGGCTGTAAAGCTGTTGTTCTGACCCTGCTCCAAGCCAAATCATGAATGCCTACAAGCCTCTTCAATGTGATAGCCGACAAGCAGTGAGAGATCCAGCGCTCGCTCACACATGCAGCAATGCATCACCACACTCTTGTCAGTGTCAATGGTGACTGAAACAAGATCCCCACATCACAGATTTGTTATGAACACTGGCTGGTGCACTATTTTCCTGGCAATTGAGACACATGCAAAAGGGAGACATGGGTCCAAGACTAACAGCTGAGAATCTTAACCATGAAGAATACCTGGTTCTCTTGTATATAATAGTGTTTTTAAACATGAAGTGCAGTATCTTACAGCGAAGCTTCTCTTTTCTCATAGCTTCCTTCTCCTCCACCGTTGTCTTCAAGGTAGGAGGGCGGAAGTGGGACATGACCATAAGAAACTGCTCGAAACCAATCTCCTCAGCGTCGCCCACCTCATCCTGATGGTGGTTCCTAAGTCAAGAAGTAAAGAAATTTAAGTTTAGACATCATGAATTAAAATGAAACCATGTGGCTACTCCAACACCTATATTTCATCATGTTGCTAAGTTGTTAACAGACGTCTATGCAGATTGCAGGTATTCTGTTGTGCAGGATTTTCTGTCTTGCCTGTTGCCCAATCTCCTGGGAATATGTTTTGTTCTGTATTAAACACATGACCTGTGTGACTCACAGCTTGTTTTGCTGGACAGTCCGTATAGTGGTTTGCCCTGTTAAGCTAGGCTCTCCCAAACATGAGGAAGTGCTGGTTTTTAAAACAACTGTCTCTTTACGGCCACAAAACCCTCAGCTAGATGTTGTTAATGGATGGATGACATACTTTGTTTTCACAAACTGCTCCACGCTTCTCTTGGATGAGGACTGAAACCCATATTAACAGCCGTGTGAATGAAATAAAGGTATTTTCTACTGCTCGTGTTTATGTGGCACTGTTTTTACTTAACTAAACAAAAAGACATAAAGCGCTAAACACTCAGGAGTTAGATTAAACCATGCTAAACATTCCTAAGGTTAATGCACCTTAAAAAAAAACTCAGAGTTCAAAACTTTCCATCCATCAGTTAGCTCATTAATTAGCCTGAACTGCACCATACTTAAAACTAATGCTAATCAAACTCTTGGAGTAAGAGTGACCCTCCACCATGGATGTATGATTAGATCTGGATACTGGACCCCAAGATGGCGCCTATTTAGTCAATGAGAATTGCTCGCCTGGTGCATACGCCCACAAAGTTTCTACCTTACTGGATTCACTTCCAGGATATGTGGCCCGTTGAATACAGTGCTGCAGGGATGATGTTGTTTTGCAGGCAGATGCAAAGGTTTATGTCACCCTGGTTCCCTCATCAGTAGCTCATGTTATGCATCAGCTAACAGGGATCCTAATAAAATCATAAATCGTAAATCATAAAACGCCCATGGGATGTTTTACATAGTCAGGTTTGCCACCACAGCAAGACTGTAAAGCCATGTTTGGTGTGATGACGTTCTGCAGTCTTAGCATTTCCTCCACAAACAGCACTGTTTCATGTGGGTTGTTGTCACTCGCTGCTCCATCCAGCACTCACTGTATTTCCTGGCCCTTCACCAGTGACACATTAAAGTCAGCATCTTGTATCATCTACAGAACGAGGCTGCATGCCAACATTTTCAGAACAAAATAAAACAGGCTGCAGTGAGAGTCTCTCTCCATGGGATATTTAAAAATAGCAGCTTTGTGAATTTAGTCCTTCTCAGGCAAGCTCAGGGGTTTAGTGTTGCTGAAGCCCACAAGAACAACACTCCGCCATGCTTTTTTTTCTCAGAGTGAGTGATTAGAATATAAGCCGTTCACATAATCTGGTAGAAATTAATATAAAAGCTTGAAGGAACGCACTCATTACTAAAAGTGTTTGTCATATAAAAACTAAAGTGATGGTCAAAGTTGTCACAGTGAAATTTAAGGAGTGCTGATGCATTCACGTCGTCAACTCATGCATTGAGCAACATTACAAGTTAACGTTCCACCTTAAAAGTTGCCGGCAGTCGGCCCAGTGAATTAAGTTTATTTCTCACAGACTCCAGCTGCTGCAAGAGGCAGCAAAACATGCCTCATTTTATAGTTATAGTCTACTAATAACCAATGATCCTCAGACAGACTGCAGTGTTCACAGCTCCACCTTCTAGTACCAGATCTGTGTGCTAGGTACCCCAACAGAGGGGGGACCAAAAATGGGGACGGTACGGAATGGATCCATTGGTACTATCCACAACTTTTCACAGTGGAAAAAGCATACCGAATTGAACCGTACCGTACTGCTCGGTGGAAACGGCTGTTGCAAACAAGTGGCTAAATAAGACAACAGAACGCCATCATACTGCACAGCCTCACTGTGGTGGCGATTGTGGTGTAGTTCATTTACAACCTTAAGTTAGCTTTTAACTTCTGCTGACTGCATTTATGATTAAAAATCATAAAAGATGTGTTCATTTCTGGAGATTATCTTGCTGAACAAAACGTGCAGGTATCATAAACTTTGGTTTGCCACAGAGCTTATTTTCTGTAAAAAGCCAATGGAAAAATCCCATTGGCTTCTTCATAAGGAAACCAAGGGGCTGCTAACTTCCTTGTTGGCCTACAGAAAAATGTCATCCCTGCAGCACTCTATATTTACCATACAAAAAGGTTGGGAAATGTCATTGCTTAGATTATCTGACCTTTCATAATTCTGATTGTCAGAAGACTTTCACTTTTCACAGATCATATAATAGTGGTTTGGTTTTGACAGTGTTTCAAATATATTAATATGCCAGTGCCAAGAACATATCAGCTGAAATGGCTGTCAGCCATAGGGTGGGGAGTGTGGTGCAATTTGACTGCTCACCTTTTGTCAAAGAACGCATCAATAATTTGCTTCCTGATTGGATTATTGGCGAGGGCTGGTATGCTCTCCAACTTTTCTTTACTGCAGTGCGACAAGAGAAGATTCATTATCATAAAACAGATACAACAGAACCAGCATGCTCGATCAACTGACATTTATTTCTGGGAAGTTACAAACAGTAACTCTGTCTAAAGGTAAAGTGTAAATAAACACCTGCTATGTACGACATGTGTTCCCTGTTTCTTTTTAAAGGGAAGAATCTTGTGATCTGTCACCACCAGCGTGCCACCTTGGCAGTTTTATGTGTGTGTTTACATGAATGAGTGTGTGTGCACAGCATGTGGCAGCTCTGTGTGCCTGATGCATCGACATATTGGATTTGCATAATGTGTCTGCGTTTGCATTAGTTCACCCTGCTTGTGTCACCATATGTTAGTGGTTTGCCAGTGATGCCAGAAATTCCCACAATCCACCACTCTGGGCCCCCATGCAGTCGTATTTCATGTTTAAAAGCGACGGCGAGGGCTGAATGGTTTCCATTAAAACCATATGCAGCTGACTAGCAGAGCTTTGCCTCATGTGCAGGTTTTCTTTAAAACATTTTACCTTATTGTCTCTTCATTTCCACTCAGCTGCTGGAACCTTTTGTTAAGGTTTTTAATCTGCTCCAGTGAAACTGAAAAGAGGCAAACAACAGCAACTTATGTCAACCAGTAATTACTCCACACCCATCAGCAAGCCTCCTGCATGCCTTTAAAAGATAAGATCACTCATTTTCTTCATGTGCCTTAATGGTAATACACTGAAATATGATTAAACAGCGAGACTTATTTTCACTAACTCATGTGCAAGTCCACTATCAGTTTAATGGCAAAGCAAACAAACCCCGTTCTACTGAGATTGTCTTTTTATGCCATTTCAAATTGTTCCCTGAATCATTAACTCACTGTGTGGACTTATGAACGCACACTGAAAGGTTTACACATCACAATCAGTCACCACCTGCTCCCGTATCAACACAGGTATGGCATTTTCAATTGTTTCGGTAAACACTTTGCCCCTTTTTCCCCTTCCCAGAGGCTAAAGTGGATGTTTGCAGCAGCAACTGTGGCTGCTGAGAGTAGGGTGAAAAACATACAGAGATAGACCAGCAACATGTAGAAACAAGTTTGTTGAGCAATGAGTCTATTACAAGCACATGATCAATGACAGATGCAGATGCAACAGACAACTAACTACAAAAACTGGTCCGAAAACAACAACAGAATCTGTGGTCTGTGCACTACCAACAAGTACAGGCCTGTTAGTACAATCAAACATTTCATCAGTTATACAAATCCATAGAAGTCCCCACTGAGCCTGCAGACAGAGGTGGTCAAAGCCCCACCTTGAGGAAATGAAGGCAATAAAAAAAGTTCAAAGTCTCACCCATACTGTATCAGTAAAGCTGGACTCAAGTCTCTGATGAAATCATTATCCCTGTCACTCAAACTCTGCATGCCACTGCATGCAAAGGTTTCACATCAGGATCCTGTCCTTACTAAAAATAGATCCGACACACTTCTGCTGTTTTTGTTTCATTTCTTTATTGAGCTTTCCCTATGCACGTATGGCAGGAAGACAGATGGTGTTTATGACAACAAAAAGGTGTGTTCAAGTCATGTTTATAGCAGCTGAACCGACCCACATATCTTCATGCAAAGTAGATTAGTTTTAAGGCAAAATAATACAGATAAAACGCTTAACAGTTGTGTGGTTCATTAAAAATGTGGTCGTTTAATTGTTTTTTTAATAATAAATTAACTACAGATTGTTGCATTTAAAGTGAAATCACTGCATGTTTTGCTTAAAGAGAGGCGTCTCACATGGATTAATACTCTAGTGCGATGCTCACGTTTCACTTTGTATTGTTAACTATGTCTTACACAAATTTGTCGCCGCCACCACACGTTTGTTAATCTGAACCATGTTACACCAACAGCGCCGCACACCCACACACAGCAGTTACTTTAATTATACTGGACAGAAAGTATGGAGTAACTTGTGGATTTGTCTCTACTTACATCCCGTCTTATCCACCAGGTACTGGTGCTTGTGCTCGGAGCGCGTCTGCGAAGCCCCCATCGCTGCTGTTCCTCCGGTGCGTCAGGGCGCATAGTCTGATCCGACTGGCTCAACTTTGCTTTAACGCGCTCCTGTCAGCGGGGCAGAGCAACTGTAGTCTGCTGGAGGCGTCCTGGAAACATCTGGCGTCCTCAAGGTCCTAAATCCAGACAGTCTATAGATACATGACCTGCTGACTTCTGTTTCACTTAAGTTTTTTAACAGTAAATCCAAATCGTGATGACTAGGCTATTGTGTCACGTTAGTAAAGATGCAGTATGCGATTTTGGGGAAATATTAGGTCTGAGTGATACGGACAAAAGTTCATATCTCTGATTTTACAGGCTGACTGGCAACGCATGGTATATATCTCGGTATTATCTATGAAATTATCTACATCTTTTCAGCTGCAAGCCAAAGCCACATTTAAGATGTCACATGCACGTTTATAAAAACAGATTGTGATCAAAATAAAATGCAAAGGCAGATTTTTTTTCCCCTGTGTGAAAATATGCAGCTGCACAACATATAAATGAAAAATTATTTAAAATAAATAGCAGGGCTGTACGTTAAGTTTTTTCACATAGCACTGGAGATACAGAGGTTTAAAGGTTTGTAGCACAGGGCACAAAATTATGAGTATAAAATTATCAAGTAGGTTTGAAACAATCAACTTTTAAACTCCCCCCACAAAGATTTTTGTTATCCACGGCCTTTCAAATGAATCCAGTGCTGAAAACGATTTAAATATTTGTATTTATTTAGGCTATTAATCATATTTGTGCCGGGTTCAAGGGAGGGAAGGAGCAAGACACCTTGGCTGTGTTATATATGTCTCCTATATAAAACGTCTGTGTTGTCGCTGCATTTTTTAAACACATCTGTCGCCTGCATCCAGGCGCTGTCTCAGTGTCACACATTAGACTTCAACTCCCAAGATAAACGGCAACACACTATGATCCTCCTCACACACAAACTGGCAGCTCAGCGTTGGATTGTGCGTGTGCTACTGCCGTAATTTCATTCACCTCACAGACTGATTTAGCGTAGCACGTGCAACATATAGACCGATGTCTCACTGTAGACTAATCAACAGACAGATTAAACAGAGGAGCAGCTCTGAGTCTCTCTTAGAGTGCATTCACACCAGGATAGTCCAGGGGACTCGGCTTGATTGGGTGGGGAATGCTGAAAAATTTCACACCTTCATTTGGTTCACTTTCACACTGCACTTTTTAAAGTGGACCAAACCGAGAAGAAAAAAAAGCATGAGGAATAAGAAAACCCAGCTCATCGAATGGCCAGGACCAAGAATGGAAATCCATCCCCTTCAGCCAGCTTCAGCCAAAAAAACCACCAAACACCAAAATGCACTGCACTCTACATCACTTCCACTCTTTGGTTGGCTGGAAAGTCCGTTTGCATATCCCACTGTAAGCCAACCGCACCAGGGTTCACTTGTAAGTGAACTGGGAGTTAACCCCCAGTTTTCAAGAGGAGCAGGGGTCGCTTGTTTGGTCCGCACCAGAGTTGGAATGAGTGTTCACACTACTCCAAGCAAACCAAACTATCCGTGGAAGTGGACCAGGGTTCGTTTAAAGCGGATGTGTTATGTAACGCAACTTTACCCTATATCGATATATACGGTGGTTTATATCTTGCTTGAAAATATATCGTACACAGTCATATCACCCAGCTCTAGGAAAGATAGTTGATTAGGTCTCACCAATGACCTGGCAATGAGATTCAACTGTACCTTTAGTAGAAAGAAGTAAAATGAATACAGAGAGAAACTAGAAAAAAACTTGAAACGCTTTATTTTTGTTGTAGTTTCCTCAAAGCTCACAGTCATTTGTGTTTCAAGTCAGTGGTGTCCTTATTGGTTCCTCTTTTGTTTTTCCATTAACAGCTCGGCGACACTGATGAGCCACGACATCCTACATGTTTCACTTGTAAATATACACAGAAAAAAAAAACAAGATAATCTAGAAATGTGAAAGTTAAACTTTCTGAAGTGCATGAAACTCGATTAAAAGATGGGGAGTTAAAAGTACAAGTCAATTTACAAAGTTTTTTCTTTATAGTCTTCTGTGTGGCACTGTAACTGGAGGGGTTGGACTAAATGCTGGGGGGCTTGTTTGACTGGTGCTGGGTGCAGAGAGGTGTGGGTGAAGGAGCATTCCTTGGTTCTAGGTAAAGGATGATTTACAGTATCTGGATACCCATCCTGAACTGACTCATCCACTTAGCTGTGTACTTTAAGCCTACATTCTTTTTTCTCCAAGGTGTCGACTTAAGCACTACTTTGAGTTTTCATACTTTTTCCAAACTAAACTTTGTGACTGGATTTCCTGCATCCTGGATAACACTCCATAGTTTGAGCTTTGTTTTCACAACAAATGCATTACAATATTTAGATATGTGTTTCGTAAATGTTTCCATACATTTTGGTCACGCTGTCAACTTTCCAGACATGGAAAAGTTAAAATAAATCTTTACAGACCTGCACATGAAGCTGACTGTGATACAAAACCACATTTGTAAATCACTTTTGTGTGTTCCTCTCCATTACACGTATCCTGGTCTTGAGTATGTGAAACAAAGCAACAGCTAAGTGGACTGTGAGTTGAGAACAGGTGACCAGTAATTAGTTAGCCCTGGTCAGCAGGGTGTTGGACACAGCTACTTCGCTACATGGGCATGGCTTGGTGGTTGCTTTGGTCTGTGGCAGGAGCTTGTTCCTGGTTCCCAGAGCCAGGTGTCAGTCTGTGGTAAAGCTCCTGCACTGTGCCCAAAGTTTCAACCATGTCCTCTGGGTATCGTGTCTGCAGTTCTTCGTTGGCAACGTAGTGGGTGTCGGCGAACTCTGAGAAGTAACGTCCTACCTCCGGGTGGCCGATCTCCAGGGGGGCTGAGTGGGGCTCCAGGTTCTCTGAGGAACAACAATGGAATAGTGTGACAATATATATACAAAAAGGTTAACATTACAGTTTCCGCCATTATTAACATAAGCCCCATTTCCACCAAACACTTTCGGTATGGTACCTTTGGAACCAAAAGTAACCCTTCAGACATGGTACCTGGACCCTAGTGTTTCCACCACAAACACTACTCCTAAATGAAGGCGGGATTGTTGTCACTCACTGCTCCGTCCAGCACTCACTGTATTTCCTCATTACTGGTCACAAAGATGGAAGTCTGCACCTCGTTTATCGTCCACAGTGGTGTATCAAACTGAACCGTACCATACTGCATGGTGGAAACGGGGCTACGGTATACATACAAGCCCAAGTCAAACAGACAACTCACATATCGAAATACTGAGTTTATCAAGAACATGTCAGGTGTAATTAATTTCGGCATCACAACTTCATGTTTTCTCACTTCCTGCTCTCATCTTCTGCCCGAGGAGCAGACGAGAGCACAGGGACTGATCGATACAAATCTCCCTCTGGCTTTGTAGAGAACAGAGTGTGTAGGTGAAAGTCGAGGTGGTGGAGAGGACAAAGATAACACGTACAAACAATGAAAGCTGTGTAGCAGCAGCAGCTTCAGCAGACTGAGCGGCAGAGTGAGCAGGTAAGCACAAGGGAGTGTATGAGTCAGCCTGTTAGGGAGGAGCTTTCTTAAGTGGGGAAAATGTGTAAGTCACCAAAAAAGGGTGATGCAGCACCACTAATGCATCGGCCTTAGACCAGTCTGCAGGCTTTGTTTCCTATATGTCAGTCTTGCTGAATAATGCATCAACAGTGACTACAACAAAGACATCATGAACTTCACATCACACTACTAATATAACGCTGTGGAGTTACGTTAGCTTTAAGAGCAAAATGCTGCAAAAAGAATTTTCAGTCACTAGCCTTCCAGTTGTCAGCAATATGTGAAGTGAGTTTCCCCAAATTTTATGTTAGAAATGTGCAGAATAGGTCCCCAGCATTTAGACACTGCCACATGCTAACTTGAATATGTTGGGAAATTTTGCATAATTAGCACTGATTAGCATTATCACCTATATAGACTACATTTCAGCAAGTATTGGACTGGTTTTGGGGGTTACTGAGGATGCTGAATCCATTTCTGACAATTTCAAAATTCACCAAACAGCCTCGAGTTGGGGGTAATTTCCAAGATAGAAAGGTCGACTTGGGCTCACATTGAAGCTTAGCAACGTGGGAAGTTTTCTATGTACAAGTAAAGCAGTGAAACATAAAGTGATGAAAAATAATCATTTCTGATGAGAATTTGTCAAACTAACTGCCATTTTTTTGTTTTGTTGGGGGGATGTTGTGTGTGATATTTTGATATAAAGTGGCAGCAAGCCCCAGAATCTTGTTTTGCTATTTTATTTCCCCTTTGCATCAGGATACTCCTTGCCAAATTTCATGCTTGTATGATTATTAATGCCACCGTAGTGCCCTAATATTTGCATTTACATCATTTCGCCAGAAATATGTCCCAAAAATAGGAGTTTTGGGCCCCCTGAGACCAAACGGCTCCAAGTTGGGGGTGTTCACAATCAACTTGTGATGGCCCAAGGTAAAGGCCAACAGGACATAATGAAAAAAAGGTAGCGGACCTGGCCCCTGGCCCCTGGCTCTAACAGTCTATCTCTATAGTGTATGAGAACTTTAGGTTTTGCATTGTTTTTCCTGCTGACTTCCTCTCGTCTTATCAGCCAGCAGTTTCCTTTTAATGTGTTTTTAGTAGATAAGATATCAGTATGCTACATGTTCCAGTTTAATTCCACTTCTGCAATTCGAAATGTTCTCCCCCCAAAACACAGCACTGCTATGTGCATAAAGTTATGCTTGCTAGGTTTAGAGTGGTTCTGATTTTTGGCCTCATACATGAATTCTTGCAACGCCTTGTTGCAAGAGTAAAAGACATAATTGTGAACTTTGTGACTTTGGCAAACCCTGATTTATTTTTCTATATCTGGCCACTTGATTTATTAGTAGCTGGTGCCAGGACAGTTTAATGATTCATTCCTTCCCACGGGCATTTATCAGAAACATATACATATTTATGATGTATAAACTTTTTAAATTTCATAAGTCATCACACAACCAGCAAACAATCTTTAACATTAAGGATATTTTTCATCACTGTGCC